TTTATTTTTTCCTTATCAAAACTTATTTTTTAAACTGTAAAACTCTTTGTTAATTGACCTGTCCCTGGTCTGGTGTAACTATGGTGTTCTGATGTAGCTATAATCCTTGGCTTTGCCCCTGACATGATGCAATTGTGGTTTTAAGCTTTATAAACCCTGTCCTGCTTCTCCTTGGGGTCAAGAGTTCTTTTGGGCATTAGCCCCCTCTCTGACTGATAGCAAGCTAATAAAGGACTCCCAATTTGACCATCACTATGTGGCGTTCCTCCATGGATCTTGCTCAGTATCACACCCCCCAGGCATAAGGCAGATACATTTTTCACTGTAGGTCATGCTAAAAAAAAAAAAAATTAGTGTGAAGGTCTCAAAACCTAACCATATACACAGCATCTGACCCAGAATCCAAAACTTTTGTGTTTCTTTCATTACAAGGACTGAGAAAGTGAGAAGGTCAGACAGGGCTGCAGAGACACCTGGAGAGTAACGAAGAGAGGGGACTGGACCCCGTGGCCGAGGCTGTGGGCCAGTCTGACACAAGCACAGAAGAAGGCTGGCCCCTGGTCGGGTTATGGGAAGCCAAGTCACCTGCCTTGTCCAGTGAGAGGTATGGCTCTGGGCAACACGGAGAATCCGATTCCCAGCTATCTCTAAAGCTTCTTATGGGAATATTTTTCCCACTCCTATGAGCACAGAAGCATTAATACCTGTAATAGTATGCACACAATCCTCCAGGGAAATGCTAGTTTCTTCTTTTTAGGTTCAAGACACTGATATAACGCACCGTGAAAACAGCCACCTGGGACTGCAGGCGAAAACAAGATCAGCCTGCTCATCAGGGCTGTAACTTTAAAAAGGAAGCCAAGAGACTGTTCCAGCCCAAGCCAGAACTCCGGGCTTCCTTGCTGCCTGCCTGCCTTCACTGTCAGCTGGCTGAGGGTTCCACACTTGGTCCTGGTCCCTTTCTCCCATACACACGCTAGTTGGTATCTCCCAATACCTGGTGACTTCTACACCTACCCAGACCTAGTGCACCCCAGGGAATGGCAGACAGATGCTCAACTGCCCAGATGAAGACCTCCACCTGGCTGTCTAGGGTGAGTCTCACAGGCATCTGTCAAAGGAGAGCTCTGAATCCCACATTCCTCACCAGGCTCCCATCAGCGGCTCAGCCCCATACCTGGGACTGTTCTATAGGCATGCTACCTCATACTCACACTTCTGCCCAGGGCCATCCAGGGTGTGGGAACTGGCTACCATCCTTGTCCCCTCAAGACTACTCACTCTACTTCTCCAGCCCCTCCCACAGTAGTCAGCTGATGCTTTAACCCATATGTCAACATTCACTCAACTCCCTGCATCTGTTTTTTCTTCTTCTGAGACAAGGTCTCACTTATGCAGCCCTGACTGGCCTGGAACTTGCTAGGTAGACCAAGCTGGCCTTCACATATACAGAGATCTACCTGCCTCTACCTCCAGAGTACTTGGATTAAAGGCGTGGCCACTACACCTGGCTTGTGCTTCCATATTTGAGTATCCAACCAACCTCAGGAAATACTCAAAACCAAAAATTGCATCTGTTGTGAACAGACGGACTGTTCCTTTGTCATTACCCCCTCAGTAACGCAGTGGCAGAGTTACTCACGGACCATCTACACTGTCGTGGGCATTGGAAGGAATCCGAAGATGGTTTAAAGCACAGCTTTTTTCTAAATTTAGTTTTATTGGGGTGTATGCATGTATTGTCTGCATGTAGGTAAGTGCACCCATGTTGAAAGCGCAGTTTCTTAAAATGTAGGTCGCAACCCCAGGTGAGGTCACAAGAGATTTGGCAATAGTAAAGTTTCTGAACGTGCAACCATCAAAACTTAGTTCAAAATCAAACACACAGTGAATCTGAGGTGTTTCTGGCAGGGCTCACCTGTGCTGTGCCATGTGACTTTGCTGCAGCCCTGGTTCTGAACCCACAACACATGCATTTGGTATCATACATGTCCTCATACCCTGTAACACAAACCAACACTGCCTGAAATGCCGTGACTTCTATGGTAAGGCATGTGTATCATAAACTATAGTGTTTTTACTGTATAGACAGTTTTCTGCTCTTACAGAAACATAATGCTTTTATTTATTTATTTATTTATTTATATTTATTTATTTATTTATTTATTTTATGAGTGCTTTGCCTGCATATACATAAGTGCACTGTGTGCACGCAATGCCCACAGAGGCCAGAAGAAGGCATCAGGTCCTCTGGAACTGGAGTTACAGATGGTTATGAGTTGTGCTGGGAACTGAGCCTGGGTCCTCTGTAAGAGCATCCAGTGCTCTTAACTGCTGAGCACTGGCTCCAGCCCCTGGAAATGTAACGGTGTGACGATGGAAAACAAAGGTTGTTAATGGTTTCCACCACCCTTCCTCAGCATGCAAGTATCAAATTAGTGTATCTTTAGACTGTAGTGAGCCAGAATGTTTGATCTTAAAAACTGATGCTTTAGCCCGGCGTGGTGGCACACACCTTTAATTCCAGCACTCAGGAGGCAGAGGCAGGTGGATCTCTTTGAGTTCAAGGCCAGCCTGATCTACATAGTGAGTTCCAGGATAGCTGGAGCTACAGGGAAACTGTGTCTCAAAAAGACCCCCCCCCAAAACAAACAAACAAACAAAAAAACCCAAAAACTGATGCTTGAGTTGCTGACTTAGGTTTCATGAAAAAAAAAGATCATTAAATGCATTTTGGCTTATGATTAGGACATTATTTCTAACAATTTCTGAAATGGCCCTAAAGGTAATTCTGCTGTCTATTTACGGAAAACTGTGTCCTCAGCATTGATTATAAAATCAAAATATTGATCAACTCCAAAAAGCTTTGAAGATGCTCTCAGCCAAGATCTAATCCTTTATGCAAAAATGAAGAAGCACATCCATCTCATTAGTATGTGCAGTGGGTAATCCTGGTCATCAGTTTGGGAAGACTTGCGGTCACCTAGGAGACATGTCAGTGCTCTCTGTGCAGCTCTTCATGGCTTCATAGAAGCCTGGCCCTGAGTAGGTGCTGAATGGGCATTTGCAGACAGAGTTTCCTCCAGTAAATGGGAGCAGTCCCCTTGTGGCCACAGGAACCACCATTCGACTCCGCCCACCACCTTCCCGTTCAGGAGTCAAGCTTCCCAGGGCCTCTTCCTCCAGCCCACCTAGCCGTGGGTTCTGTTCTCCCACTTTGTAGGAAGAGGATAAGGAACTGGGGGCTGAGGGGAGGCTGTGACCTTCCTTGGTGAAGGGTCAGACAATAAATGCAAGTCACTGAACTCATGACGGAGGCCGGACACCACGACATTAGTTTATTTACCAATGCAACACCAGTGCCATAACACTGGCCTTCAAAAGGCAGTTGTTGAATCGTGAATGGGTGTGCATGGTCCTCAGCCACCCGCAGGAAGGAATCTAGAATCTGTCTTCCCGACAGTGGAAATGCCAGATACACAGAGGCATTTACCATCCTGTGTCCTATGGCAGACAGAAAAAATCCAGGTCAGGGGCTGGAGAGATGGCTCAGTGGTTAAGAGCACTTGCTGCTCTTGCAGAGGACCCAAGTTCAGTTCCCAGCATCCACATGGTGGCTCACAACCATCTGTAACTCCAGATCCAGGAGATCCAACACCCTCTTCTGGCCTCCACAAGTGCTGCATGAACATGGCATATATACATACATGTAGGCAAAACACTCATATACATGGATAAAAATAAATGAATCTTTAAAACTCCAGGCCAGGAACTCCTCACTGGTCTGCTCTCCAGACATTACATGCAGATGAGGCTGTATTCTATCACAGCCTTACTTTGGAACATTGAAATCTAAATCCATGTAATTATCACATATCACACAGCCTGGTTCTTCCTTTGATGCGAAAGGGAGGTTGAATAATAGGAGGTCGAGTAACTAGGAGCTTGAGCACTTGGCCAGGAATAACTAGCCTCACCTCCCCCCCGGTCCGTGTGGCCTCTATGAGACAACTTCCCTGGTCAGGAAGGAAGGGAGGAAAGAATTACGGCCCCATATGTTACCCACTTAGACCTCCAACCTTCCCAGAGGTCCTTGCCCTGGGCTTTCCCCCGGACAAGGCTTTCTCTCCCCGCAACTCAGCTCGCCCGCATTTCCTAATGCTATTCCATGAGATAGGATGAGAGAGCAGAGGTTACCACATAAAGGAATGAAGTGTGGGTTCTCCTGTAGAGGCGCCTTCCTCATGTAGGAGGCCCATTCTCAGCCAGAGGAGCCCAGCCTCTCTGCAGGCTACAAGGACTCCAGCATGCTGGGTGTCCAGCTACAGGCACTCAGGCTGCCAGTCAGGGTCTTCCCCGTTCTGGCCTGTGATCCTACTGGACCTGTCCCAGAACCTTCAGGCGTGGGGCAAGAAGTTCTCAGCCCCACCCATCTTGTCCTGCATTTGTGCAGAGTACAAGTCCTTGCCAATGTACTGCCAGTGCCGGCACACGGCCGCTCTTCACCAGGCAGTTGTTGAATTGTGGATTCACACACACTTATACCAGCCTGTTCTGTTTAGTTCAAGTCCACTATGAACACCTCAGGAGAGACTCAATGTTGATTCTAGGGCTGAGCTATTTGACAAGCCCTCACAGTCCCATGGCACACACCCTGTGTGGGTGGACTATTCCACTGGATGAGGGTCCCTGTTAGGTTTGTACTTCTAACATTGCACTTCTGCTCCCAAGACACTCAAGTCTCCCTGACCTGCCAACTCTCTTCCCCAGAGCTATCTTCCCTAAGCACTCGGTGGGCACCTCTGCAGAGACCTGGACACAGCCTCCTGTAGGAAAAACCATTCGACTCCAAGGGAATGTGGGGGGCCAGGCAGGGTACTCAGGGGCAGTGCACCCAAGGTAGGAGACCTGAGGCGGGAGGTCAGGGCAGGGCTGGGTGGGGTGAGACCCGGGGCAGGAGCTCTGGACAGGAGCAGGGTTGCGGGGGGGGGGGTACCCACCTTGCTCTTCTCCTGCTGCAGCTCAATCTGGATGTCCGTGAGCTTGGCTCGCAGCTCCTCGTTGGCAGCCTGCAGTGCGGTGAGAGCCTCCACCTTGTCCCCCTTGGCCCGGCTGCCCGTGCCCTTCTTTGACATGGTGAGGCTGGATAGCCAGAAGGACGCCCAGGGGCAGCTGCTCCGTCTGGGCTGGGGTATCCACGTCAAGCTCCTGGCCGGTGTCACCTCAGAGACACTCCACTACATTTTCCCACTCACCTGGAGAGAAAGTATACCCCAGTGAGCAGATTGCATAAGGCCAGTGGCCACAGCAGCCCCTCAGCCAGGGGATGTCAGCCTGGAGCTCGGGGGCTTGATACCGGGACAGGTCACACCTCTCCTCACCTACTCTCCTCCCAGAGCTGAGGAAGCTGTGCTGACTGTGCCTGCTGGGAACCAGCCCAACCACAGAGGTCTCCACCCTGTGCAGTGTCTTAGGCTAGGACTCCATGCCTAGTGGACAATGAGCACAAGGCATGTTAATAATCCTTTGCTCCTTTAGGAAGAACTGGCATGTGACTCTAAACCTAGAATTTCGTACGTGAGTGTGAGGCCCATGACAGCCACAGAAGTGAAACCCATGAGCCCCTTAGATACACAGCAAGGGTCACAGCCCGGGGTGGTCGGGGATCCATAACCTTGCCCAGGAAATATACACATACATACACATATATACACATGTGCAAAGGAGGGATTTACATGGGGGTGGGGTACCTGCGCATGAAGGCAGAGTCCAGAGACTTTGGCGGGGCTCCTGGAGCACTGGGTCCCAGCCTGACCCTGTGACAGCCATTCTGCTACCCCTCCCTCCTGGGAATGGGAACCTTGGGTGTGAGCGCTCTGTTGCTATGGAACGAGTTGTGAACCCTCCTAGTTGCTTTGCCCTCTGCTCGTGTCCAGGGCCTGGGAGCAGGTCTAGCCTGGTCTTCTGAATGGGCTCAAGTTCACTCTGTTTACACCAGAAACACCAGTGTTTTCACAAAAGTGACTGAGATGGCTGAAAACAGGATAGCACTGAGCTCCAGAGCAAGTGTGGATGGTGGTCCCGCTGCCTAACGAGGCCTCCTCAGGTCTGGGTGAAGGGGTCCATGGGCCCTAGGGTGGCTTCATCAGCCTCTGTGAGCAAGGCTTGGTCTTCTCTTCAGGTCCTGGGTCCCCATACCCAAGGCCAGCAAAGCCCACCAGAGCAACTCTGCACCAGCCTCTAAGCAAGCGCGTCAGACGCAGCCAGATGCGGTCAGACGCAGGGGCCAGCCAGGTGATAGTTCCTGCTTAAATTTACCCTCCTTCGCCTGCCTCATCAGGTGTCAGCAAGGCCTGGGGCCCCTGCAGAACACCACTGTGGTCATTCCTTTTACACATTTTAAAATGAAACTCCACAGGCCTTGTCTGGAAAAAGTCGCATTGCCAGTCGCATAAAGAGGTAACAGATTTCAAGGGAAAAAGCAAGGGAGATGCATGGTCTGGTGAGAGTACAGTTCCCCAGATGCTCGGTGCATACAGCCTAAGCTCTATGCTGTTTGCCCTGTGCCTACCACCCAGCTGCTCTGTGTAAGATCATAGCTGTCGTACCTCACAGCAAACCTGGGTGAAGCAAGCCACTGGGGACCAGGAGCCTGTGGGAGTGTTGAGATTTCAGTTGGTATCTTACCCAGAATCCCCTACCTTGGGCTGCTCCAAGTTGTAGCTAGGCTCATGCAGGGCCCTAGACCCCAAGTGGACAACCCTGATTGAACTTGGGCTGCGGGCTTATTGTCCAGAGCAGCAGCAGCCAGCATGGCAAGAAGCAGGCCTGGGAGGACTGTGCGAGGCCATGTGATCTGAGAAGGACCATCTTGGGCCACCACAGGCCAGAACTCTGCCACATTCTGCCTTGCCCAGGGTGAAGAACACTGAGAGCAGAAGTCAGCAGCAGGCTAGCAGAGGGGGCAAGGTTGGAGCAGCATCAACCCCACCATGACCAGGGGACAGGCAGGCCAGGCCTGTCCTCTCTCACAGAAGCCAGAGAGGCAGAGACTGGAGACTAAGGAAGCCCTTGGCTTCATGTCAGCTCAGCCTCTGCCTACAATGCAGAGAGGGCGGGCAGAGGAGTCACAGGGGACCATCAGCTAGGCAGGGTGGAGGGATGTATTCTACCCAGGAGGGTACAGGGCAGAGGTGATCAAGGAGACTGGTTAAGCATCTGTAACTTGCTCTGTTTGCAAAGGAATTAGTCCAACATGTCACAAATGTTTGTTAAAGTGAATTTGATCACTAGTGAAATAAAGGGTCCCAGGCCTGCTCCTCTGGGGAAACCCAGGATACAACAGGAAAGTGTGAGCTGAGATCTCAGACCTTGCCAGGTCCTGTGAGGCAAGCATTGCTTCTCTGTTGATGCAAAGCAGAACTGAATCGTTCATGCTTTCTTTAGGGAAGTCATTAAATTAATAGCTCTATCTACCATCTTTTGTTTGGGGGTCTCCAAAGAGGTAATAAATTTTCTTCCCAAGCCACAGTGGAAGGGCTGGGATGACCTCTGCCAGTCTCTTTACAGTAGGAGATGCAGCAGGCAGACAGAGTTTTATGGTTGATGAATGTACCGCCGCTGGGGGTTAATCACTACCATAAACCTCAGGGTGCTCCCTGGAGGCCCATCTAGGGAAGGCCATTCTCCTGACTCGATCCCTGCTGGCCCTGGAGTTTATTTAATGTCTAGCTCTGACATGTGTTTTGATGTCGTCATGTGACCTAGAGGGCATGGAGAGATCGGGGTGAACCCTCAACACTCAACAATCGAGAGCCTTCAGAGAGCTGCCCTCTGTTAATCCATGATCTGTCCTGTTACATGCCACCTTGCAGACCTGATAAAGCAGGCTTTGGTTCTGTCAGGTTCTATCTGGTTAACTTGTTTATGGAGAAGAAAGGATGACTCTGATAATTCATTTCCATGAAATCTACAGTGACCTTGGGGGAGGCAAGTGACATGGGTTCACCAACCCAGGATTCGAGCAGACAGAGCTACAGGCCATAGGGCCAGCGTCCCTCATCAAGTGGGACCCATATAGTCCAGTAGGTCCGGCTGCCCACAGGGGACCATGGGGAGAGCAGCAGAATCCACACCTAGATTCCTCCAGGGGTGGGGGTGGGGGGCAGACCAGGTGAAGCCCCAAGGTGACCTTGAATAGATGTACACACCTACAATTAATTCCCCCTCACACACACACATAAAAAAGAGAACCACCACTCAGAAGAGCAACTGGATGGTTATTGGTGCCTAGATGCAAATGCCAGTGATCAGAGAACAGGATCCAGTCTGAATGCCTGGAGGAAGAACAACCTTCCCCAGTGGAACAGGGAGTTCCCAGAGCAGAGGTAAGCAAACTGACCTGCTCCTCCAGAGCAGTGCCTGGACTCTGGATGCCAAGGGGAAGCAGGATGCTGGGGGAAGGAGGCAGCAGAAGACATCCCAGGGTAAATCGGAATTGGCAAACCTGATGTCTAACTAGATGTGCTGAACACCAAGCCCAGACTGTCCCCTACTCTGCTGGTCACAACCATTGCCAATCTTGGAAAGAGCCTTAGACCGATGGTTCAGTGTCCAGAGCTCCCATGTGGGGGTACACCAGTACACACAGAGCAGATGCTTCCCGGAAGATGTTCCTCAGAAGGATGTCCAGGTAAAAGTCTGACTACATGTGTGTTTTCTAGAAGTTGGAGGAGGCAGAGACCCCCCAAGTGGAAATTTAGTCACATGATGACTCTGTGGCAGCTTCCTGGATTGGCCAGGAACAGCAGGAGATCCAGGATAGCATGTCAGCTGCTCTGTACCCAATAGGCCATGTCTAACGCCAGGCCAGGCCAAGGCCCTAGATACTCACATCTGCCCTTTGTCCTGTTTGAATGAGAATGGTCCACAGCTCTGAGAAACTGGGCAGAGGCTCTCTCCTCCTGCAGGAACTCAGCATCAGCCTCTTGATATTAAAAGGAGCCTAGCTTGGCGGCCTGACCTATGTGGGTACAGGTGCTCAGCAGATGGCTCTCTTGGGCATCCAAAGGCCCAGAGAGATCACAATACACAGAGTAGCCACCAAAGTGAGGCTTTTCTCCAAAGCCCTTCCTTGACTGGAGCAGTATGACTGATCCTCCCAGGCCTCCCAGGATGGAGAGAGCACAGTCAGGCACCTTCTGATGCTGCCACCAGGACCCGTGGGTAGTTGAGGACTCCATTTCCTTCTGAGACATGCCCCTCTCCCTACCTGCCCAACACACTGCATTTGATTTCACAAACATCCATTGTGTTCTGGTATCTTTCCAAACTCACAGGAAGCAGTGCATTACCAACCTTGACAAGAAAAACAAAGTTTATTTGGATAGTCACAGCCATCAGGAGGTCGATGGACTTTGGACATGTCATCCTTCTGTTTTGACAACCAGTGACACATTTTGCAGCAGGTGGGAAGACGTGAGGACGTGCCCATGGTGAAGAGCTGACAGCGGCCTTCAGAAACGGGTGGGGCAGCGGTCACCGGGGCTGCCCAAAGACACTTAGAATTATCCAGAATTTCTGTTATGGCCTTGTTTCCAACCACAATATTTCAAAGAAATTATTTGTTAATTTTTTAACAGATCCCTGTGAGAAATGACGTGTATAGAAAACAAGGTGGTGGAATTTGATGGGAAGGAAGAGAAGCAAAGGGAGCCTTCCGGAAAGGAAAAGCTTTGTCTGGGGTCTCTGTGAGACACTCACATCCAGTTGTCACCAGCTACTCCCACTATGAATTAATCACTGACAGGAAGAAGCCAGGGAGCTCAGGTCCCCTCTTAGGTACTTAGTCCAAGATCACTGTAGAGCACGTGCAGTTATAAGAGCATACAGAGACGGTTACAGAAATCTGACTTTTCAGTCTCCCCCTTGGGAGCATCTCTGAAAACAATAGGACAAGGTCGTATCCAAGGTCCACGCATGGTGATGGCCAAGGATCAGGAGGAGATCTGGTTTCTATGAGGACCTCTTCCCTGCCTCCACCCCACCCCAACTCCAGGAGGTGGCTGACGTGCTCCCTTGAGCAACCCTGCCATTCCAACAGTGCTGTGGAAGCAGAATGGTACAGCGTGTGTTCTCTGGGGACTGTCTTCCCCCAGCGAACCTCAACAGACCTCTGAGGATTTGTCCTGGTTGCTGAGATAACAACTGCTCTGTGGTGGCTGCCGTTGTTTGCT